CGGATCTCAGCTTGGCAAACCTCTTGCCCTCTCTCCCAACAGTGCCAGCAACTTTCCAGGCTGTGGGCACCCTGCAGGGTTGGGGTCTAAGGGAAGTGTTGCCCAGGGTCCTGGGAGGAGGGGAGACGTGCTATTGGTAAGGAGGACCTCGGACGGACCCCATCCTCTTCCCCAGACAAACATGGTGGGCACCTGGCCTTTACCCTGGGGAGCAAGCAGTCCAGCAAGAGAGGGGGCCTCCTGGGCCCGCTGGGGTGGGGGAGTGCCTAGGAGGAGGCCAGGAACAAGGAAAGCTCCTGTTTGCTCATGGGAGGGAGGAGGTGGCCCAGCCCCTGGGAGCATCTCCTTGAGGCCTCGAGGAGCTTCGAGAAAGCACCTGTAGGGAGCTCCCTGGAAGGACAGGGCCCTTGCTCAGCCAGCAGAGAATGCAAGGGTCCCCTCGCTCGAGCCATTCTGCCCAGCAGCTACTTCCTGCTTGCTTCTTTCCTGTTCTTTTCTTTCCCCAAATTCTTGCTTCCCCTTCCTCCTTCTTTTCCCTCCTCTTCTGCTTGGCTCTCCTTGCCTAGCTGAGAACCTGAGGGCCCCAGAGGGGAGGGGACTGGTTGGGTCCCCATCTCAGGGAACAGGGACAGTGGTGTGTGTGGTCAGTGGGGGACAGAGAACCCAGATTGTTGGGAACCTGGAGTGGACAGGGAGACAGAGATGACAGCTGTCTCTCCCTCTCACCCAGGGCCTCAAGGCCCAAACTGCAGGGGAAGGGGAAGCCTGTGTCCTATGTCCCTCCCTGGGTCTGCAGAGAGCAGGATGAGTCTGTGCAGCCATTCATCCTTAAATGCATGCTTAGTGCCACTGTTGTGGCTGTCATCGAGTACTTGTGGTTATTAATTTGGGTCTTTAATAATTCATCATTAGAGCCTGTACCATGTTAGGACAGTGTAAAGTGGGAATTAGTCTAGAAATTATGGTACAGAAAGCAAAGACTTAGTCGAATGCAGATTATCCGAAGTTGTGTGAACAATGGATTGGCGCATTGATTTCTTGGTGACACCTGCCTGCCTGCCACTCGGCCCTGGTAATCACCATCTACCTGAACCTCTGGCCCTTGGGACTCTGGCCCCTTACAGAGCTAGAGGCATCCTGAGCTGAGATTCCAAGACTCTACCTGTCCAGGGCCGCTGCCCCTCCATGGCCCACACCTGTCACACCAGTCAAAGAGGGTGACTGCAGTTTCCAACACACACCCACTTCCCACATTATGCCTCTTCCCACCCTGGACGTGATGTCCCTTCTCTCTGCCTGCTTGAGACCCGGCCTCTAGGCCAGGCTCCCGTGGGTCAGGACATCCCTTCTCCTGCCCAGCCCAGGCTCAGCTGGGCCCTCCGAGTTCCCAGAGCTCTCTGCCATCCACCCCAGAGACTGGACACTGTCACTGCAGGCCTATTATTCTGCTCCCATCTGATCTTCTCTCCAGCCAGAGGCCAGATGATGCCATGCAGGGCGGAGCATGGAGTTGGTGTAGACACGGGAGAGAGGAGCAAGCAGGCAGGCATGTGAGCTGGAGAGGTAGGTGTCCCTTAGGCTCACCTGTGCACCGGTGAGGCCCACATGAAGGGCAGTAAGTGAAAGCCAGCCTTCAGTTCTGAGCACTTCAAATGTGGCTAGCGCCGAGGGACAAAATTCTTACTTTCACTAATTTCGATGAATTTGGGTCCAGCATAGCATGGCTTTGTGGCGGAGGAGCAAAAGAGCCTCTCACTACACACGTGGGTCCGCGGGTGTGGTGTGTACACACATGTGCATGTATGTGGGCTTTTGCACTCCATGTCAGGGGTGTGGAGGTGGCAGGTCTCGTGTGGTTCCGTGTCCGTGTCACCTGGTGAGGGCCAGAATACGGTTTGAGTGCAGTGCGGGATAGGAGGAGAAGGGGACAAAGGGACCATTGTACCAGGCTCCCAACTCAAACCCTCCTTTCTGCTGACATCACAGCTGCCCTAAATATAGCTGCCAGGCCTCATCCCCGGGACCCTCGCTGTCCCCGTGCAGAGGCACAGTGCCTGCGGCTCCCAGGGCTGCTCTGCATTCGGACTTACCTTTGTCTCCTCTATAGGGAGAAGACTAAGTTCCTGTGGATAATTTTCAGTCAAATCCAGATGGAAAATTCTAGAAAGAAAAGAAGCTTCATTTGGATTTTTTGTTTTTTGTTTTTTGGGGTTTTTTTGTTTTTATTTTGGCACCAGGGATCAAACTCATGGCCTTGCACTTGTGATGCAGGCACGGTGCCACTGAGCTAAATCCCCGGCCCAGCTTCATCTGGATTTTTCACTCTTGCTGCTTCCTTGGAATCCTGGGTCCCTTCGGGGAGCTGGACTAGACCATCTCCTGGCAGAATTTTCTATGACCAGAATATGGTGGGTTTTCCTTCCTTTTCTTTCAGCTTCTTAACCCTTGCTTCCCTGGCACCTCCAAGATCTCCCTTCATAGGCAGAGCTGGGCGAAGTAGAGGGGGGAGGTGGAGGAGGTGCCTGTGTGAGCTGGGGGTGCAGGTGGAGATGTGGGGCCTCCATGAGGAGAGGCCAGAGATGGCAAAGGAGGGAAGCAGTAGCCAGATCTGCACACAGTGAGGGCAGGATCCTCAAGGGGAGGCGGTAGAGGAGACGCCATGTGAGTCGGAGAAGGCATGGGTGACAGCATTTGGGACAAATGTGTTTCTGTCTGTGTGAACTCGGGTGGATAGGAGCAGGCATCGAGGGGTGTGGGAAGATCAGCAAAGGGTGGGTGTGGGAAAGCACTGCCACCAAAGTCCCCGGTGCTGGTGAGAAGCTGTGTTCCCTGGTCCCCTCCTGGGTGTGTGCATGGAAGGCAACAGATTGGGCTGGGCACATGTTGATGGCTCAGGAGGTGAGACCCGTGCAGGCTGGGCTAGGCCAGGCCGGGAGGGAGGTATCGGAGGGACTCGAGGTGTGGGCAAAGTGGGGTTCTCCGGGAGGGTGAGGAAGGAAGGCTGCGGAGAGCCGAAGTGGGGACCCAGGAGTACATGGAGCAAGGAGGCCACAGGCCAAAACCTGGGGGAGTCTGGCTGTGCGGTCCAGAGCTCGGCGGATGCATGCAGAAGCCCGGATGAGCAGGTGTTCTGCAGAAAGCAAGGAGAGGCCGGAGTCTGGTGCTGAGACAACTCGGAGTACAGACAAAGACAGCCATGAAATCAGCACAGAAATAGAACGGGTGCCATGTGCAACTTCATTTTCTAGCAGCCATGTTTAAAAAAAGAGACAAGATCGCTTCTCGGCCTTTTGGCTCAGGTCAAGTGTAAAAAGAAACAAGTAAAACTCATTTAATAATGCCTTTTACTTAACCTGACACATCCCCAGATACCACAGCACCCTCCCTCCATTTCTGACACGCCACAGTTTAGCCCGGTTGCACCGCAAGTCTTTGGTGGCCACAGGGCAGCCCATCAAAAGCCTGCACCCTAAACTCGCAGGGAGAAATGGAACTTTCCACCAGGCACACGTGGAACTGGAGCCCCTTTAGTCTGGATCCTAGGGGTGAGGAGACTCCCCAGGACCTCTGGCTTGCACGCAATAACGTTCCTTTCCTGGAGCTCCCAGCGTGCTGGTCCTTGGGAAGAGCTCCCACAGCGGCCAAGGCAGGCGTGACCACCCCCTTGGAAGTTCACACACCACACACGGGACGCCATGGGCAGGGCCCTCGGTGGGACTGGAGGAGGTGGGGTGTGGGAGAGTACAGGGCTGAGTCTTGAGGGGCTGGGGGGATCCTGGTCAGTGACTACGGGGGTGACTGCTGGGTGGAATCTTACCCTTGTCCCTGGTGCTGGCGGAGGCTGTGTCCCCATGGCCCCTCCTGGGTGTGTGCATGGAAGTCACCAGGTTGGGCTGGGGTGTGGCAGGCGCTCACCTGTGCACACATTGAACGTGGGCAGGGCAGAGAGAGGCGGAGCACCTCCACTCCCTGTGCAGGGAATGATGGCAGTTTGGTCACTCCCCAGTGAGAAGAGGGGCACTGAATGTGCCTGTGCCCCCCCCCCCGCTACTGGCACCTGGGTGGCTGTGTGTGCCCAGCCGCTGATCCTTGTCCTCCACTCCCCACACCTTCCCAGCTATTTGTCTGAGCCATTTCCTCTCCGGCTGGCCGGCAGCCAGGCTCCCGTGAGCGAGCGCGCCTGGGAGCCCAGCAGGGAAGGAGTGGCAGCCAAGACCCGAGGCCAGGCCCGGAGGAGAGGGAGGGAGGAGCTGGCTTTGCACACTTCACTCCCTCACCGGCCTCAGGTTGGCCCGGACAGACTGGGCGGGGGCACAGGAGGAGCCAGCCAGACAGCAGGCGGGTAGCCCGCTCCTCCACCCCAGCAGATTCTGTGTGATGCCTGTGATGCGATGCATGTGCTTTCCGTCGGATACTGGCCCAGGAGGGAGGAGGAAATGGCGGAGGGGAAGTCGCAGTCCAAGAGCCTGTTTGGTTTGGGGCTGGGTGCCCAGAGCTACCCCTTCAACAAGGCCTCAGTACCCCTTAGGGACTCCGTGTACCCATTAACAGTTAATGGGCACCGGTGCCCAGCGAAGGTGGGGCAGAGAGCTGTAGAGGCTTCAGCAATGGCCTTGCTCAGCCCTTCGCCCAGAACTGTGAGCAGCCAGGGGCCATAGAACATGCCTGCAATCCCAGCACTCAGGAGGCTGAGGCGGAAGGCTCTGCTGCCAGTTCAAGGCCACCCTGGACTACACAGTGAGATCCTGTCTCAAAAAACAAAAATAACAAAAATAACAAAGCAAACAAAGAGAACTGAGCACGAGAAAAGGAATCAAGATACATCATGTAAAGGTATAAATTCCCTATGATGAATATAATCATCATGTGAATCTAAATTCTACCAATAAAATTAAAAATGAAAAAACAAAACAAAACAGAAAAAGAACTGAGTGCAAACCCAGACCACAGTGCCCCCCCCCCCCGCTCAGGGTTTAGTCCCTTCCTGCGGCTCCCCCAGCCCTTCAAGTGTGCACGTGGGGCCCTCGGAGCCGGTGGCCAAAGACGGCGTTCTAGTGCAGGAAGCAGATGGAAACAGTGAGCCCCGACAGCCTCTCCTCTCACAGAGCTGGGGGTGCTAGGAAGGAGGCCCTGGGTGGGAGTTGTGTGGACTGGGGGCTCCCAGCCGCGGAGAAGGGAAGGGATAGGAGGTGGCTGCCGGGCCTTGTGTGGACCCTCTTGCACCTGCCACCTGGAGAAGGCCTGGCATGTTCCCTGCTCCTCTGCTGTCATTTAGCTGCTCCTCTCTCAGGCTGTCCTCAGGAGGAAGCTATAACACATTGCCCCGGAGACAGCGCTGATGACAGTGGGAGGGCAGAGTGGCCACCTGGGAAAGCAGCCTCGGGTCTCTGCATGGCCAGCTGAGCTCTCCAGGACTGTGCGGACACCACGCTGGTGACACTCAGCGCAGCAAGAACCCAACTAAAGCTCCAGGTAGGGGCCTGGACCTCCTCCTTTGCCGACCCTCCAGAAGGCAGTGTGTGAGCAGACAGGCCAGGTTCTAAACCAAGCTCTGACACCAGCTTGTTCTGTGAGCTTGGGTCTGTCACTCTCCCTAGGCCTCAGTTTCCCTATCTATAAAATGGGGATGATGATCCACTCATCTGTCGTTGTCCAGTTTGTGTGACAGCTGCACATAGAAGAGCCTTCCCTCTTCCGGGGGATTTGAAAAGACAGCAAATGCCAAGAGTCCAAAGGGCAGGCTGGCAGCCCCGGGGGACCCCAGAAGGCAGAAAGAGCAATGCGGGCAGTGAGGACCTCGGGAGGCTGCAGAGAGGAAGGCTCTGGCGGCAGTAGACAGTAAGCAGCAGGCATTTATTCCGGGAATCCAGACTCCAAACACCTCCCAACACTCTGCTTCCTCTGAGCGTGGGGTCCAACAGGGCCAGGAGCTAGAATCAGCCCTTGCCAAGGATCAGCAGCTCTCTGAGTGGAGAGAGAAGGGGGGAGGAGGTCAGGGCTGAAACTGGAAGAGGAACGGCCTGGGAGCCATGCTGGTACCCTGCAGCTTCCCTGCAGGCACAGGCAGGTCTATGGGCCCCTTCCCCTGACCTCTCCCAACCCACCACTGCCCCAGCCTTGCTTCCAGAAATGATCCTGGCACTGCCCAGCCAGACCCACCTCGCGGGGCCCTCAGGGCTGGTCCAGGATGAGGGGCACCTGGGCGCTGTCCACACGGGGTGGCAGCCCCTCGCCTGTGCGCACATTGAACATGGGCAGGGTGGAGAGAGGCCGGGGCACCTCGCGGGTGGCCGCCATCTGCCGCAGCTCCTCCGTGTTCTGGAGAATGGTGCTGTGGTGGACCATCTGGATGCTGGGGGAAGGGTGGGAGTCAGCCCCAGGTCCAGCCTGGCCGGAGGGGGCCGGATGCCCACACAGGAAGTGGGAACAGGGAGCAAACAGGAAGTTTTATGGTGCCTGCTGTACCTCACCATGGAGGCACAAGCTTTGGGTCCAGACAGCCGGGCTTCAAAGCTGTATGTTCCTGGCCACTGTTAGCAATGTTGTGTCTCAGTTTTCCCTACCTCCTAGATTGTTGGGACAATTACACGAAAAAATGCGGCTTGGTGTTTAGCAGAGTAGCCAGCACGGGGCAAGTGCTCATTAGACACTAAGACACTGATAGATTTGTGGATGTATATTTGCAGAGGCCGGAGTCTGCCAGGTTAATAATCTCTGTATCCGTGTGTGGGTTTTGGAGATCGAACCTAGGGCCTTTGCACTGAGCTCCATCCCCAGCCCATTTTTTATTTTTTACTTTGAGACAGAGTCCCACTAAGTTTACACCCTCCTTCAATACAAATTCCAAGCCAGGCATAATGGTGCACATCATCTCAGCACTCGGGAGGCTGAGGAGAACTGCCGAGAGTTCGAGGCCAGCCTGGGCTATATAGTGAGTTCAAGGCCACCCTGGACTACATAGAGAGACCTTGTCTCAAAAAAAGAAAATACAAATTCCACCCACTGTGGGGCCCGTCCTTCGCTCCCTCCTGCACCCGAGCCCCCAGCCCTCTCCAGCCTGTACCAGTGCTGACCGGCTCCCAGCACTCTCCTGCCTGCTGTCTCTGTTTCACACCAAGGCTCTTGAGGCCCTATTCCGAATGAGCTGGAAATCCCAGCAGCACTGAGCACCATTCCCAGTGGCGAGTCCTTCCTGAGCCCTAGCTCCAAGTCCTTTGGAAGCCCAGTCCAGTCCTCCTTATCCTCCCGGACTACTTCCTGTGTAGGGGCGAGCTTTAGCCCATCCTGAGAAGCAGCATATACAGAGCTCAAGCTGAGGACCCACTGGGCATTAGAATCTGGGTCTGCTGCTTACTGCTCTGCCACATTGGGCACATTACTTAACCTCTCTGTGCCTTGATTTCCTCATTTGTAATGCAGTTGTGAATGGAGCGAATTAATCTAGGAAAAGCATTTGAACATCTCTTGGTCCGGCTGGCAGCAGTGGCAGCTATTTTCATGGGAAGCTTCAGGTTGCTACGGCATCATGGACGATATTTTACTAGAATGAGCTGCTGAAACTTGGCCTCCAGGGAAGGTGTTTGCTCGCCTCTCTGGTAGGAACCCACCCAGCCTGATGACTTTTACCTGGTGGCCAGGTCAGACAGAGCAGGGGCCTCTCGCTAGAGCAGTAAGAATTGGTTTTCTTAGGGGCGACCCCACTTGCCATGGGTTCACCGATCAGACACAGAGGGGAAGGGGTCCGAGACTCAGTCAATGCCTTGGGTCCCAGTTAGAGCCTAAGGGCTTAGAGCACAGAGCGATGTGCCTGCCTCACATTCTCTCTCAGATTAGAACCCAGTGCTGCCCATCCAGGGGCCGGGGAGGGTCGGGATGAGCTCTGGAGCCTGGAATTCACAAACTCAGTTTCCCAAATCAATTTTCCATTCCTTGGCAAGGAGAGGATGGGTGGACGCAGAGGCGGAGGCAGCCCTGCAGGTGCTCCCCCACTGGGAGGAGGCCCTCCGTCAGGACCCGCCTCTGCCTCCGCCTCCGCCCCAAGCCCACAGCCTATCTCAGGCTCAGCTCCGGGCACACAGGTGGAGAAATATCCTGGGGCTGTTTTTCTAGAGTGAGAGCAGACACCAGATCCCAGGGGGCTTCACCGCACAGGCCTTCCACATCAGCGCCAGGGTAGGCCCGAGCAAACCAGGCCTTCTTACAAACCCGCATGGCCACGCCTCACCCACACCCACTGCAGCATGGGCGCCAGCCCTGCACGCTCTGCCTCCGGGCACAGACCGCAGGTCAGTGGTCCTTAGGCCCAGAAGGGCTCTGTGAGCAGATGGGCTATAGAAAGACAGCTTGAAAAGTGGCGAACGTTGAACACAACGAGAAATCTGAATTTTGTTGAAATACATCAACACAAAGCCCAAACCAACAAAGGCTAATATGGCACCTGCCAAAACTGGCTATTGATTCCAAACTGACATAGGAAGCAGATTTTTCTGACCAACATCGGACCTACAGAATTGACCTAGAAAGTTGGAAGCGATGAGAACACCAGCCACAGGGAAAAAGCACCAATAGGTCAAGCCTGGTACAGCCCCTCAGACCCAAGGAATAAAATCCTCTGAAATTAATGTGGAAAATCAGTGATCTGTAAAATAAAAATCAAAAAAATAAAAGCAACAGCTTTTAACTACTTTCTATACAAATTTTCTCAAGGAGCCAGGCGAGGGGGCCCCGAGCACTCTGGGAGGCTGAGGCAGGAGGATCTCAAGTTCCAGCCTAGTCTGGGCAACACGATGGCTTACTGAGTCTCAAGGTAAAAAAATAAAAAGGGGGACTGCGGATTCAGCTCAGTGGTGCCCCCACCTGCCTCGCAAGTGCAAGGTCCCAAGTTCAATCCCCGGTATCAAAAAAAAAAAATTTGGCCAGGGATTTAGCTCAGTGATTTCGCCTCCTGCTGCGCAAGCCCAAGGACCAGAGTTTGATCCCCGGCACCAGAAAAAAAAAAGAAAAAAAATTAAAAAATAAAAAGGGGCCAAAGGTGTAGCTCAGTATGAAGGTCCTGAGTTCAATCCCTGGTACCACCAAAGAAGTAATCTGAGAGCTCAGACCCTGAAATGGGCCTTGGCATACACACAGGCTCACACAGTCACATCCCTGGCTCCCCCTGCCTGCCCTCCCAGGGAAGAACAATGGGGCCACTGTGACCTGAGCAGGATTCTGGTGACCTCACAGTGTCCCCCTGAGGTCAGTGCAGAGATAACTTCACCACCCGCTGGGCCTGCGGCACAAGTCCGCTGCGGCCAGCTGTGGGTGACTGTCCCTGGACCTCCCTCCAGGAAGTCACTAAGGGGAAGGAGCAGGACACAGCTTACCCTCCATGGAGAGCCACCCAGCCACCACCCTGGAGGTCCTCACACCCAGCTGCCCTTGCCTTGCCCTCCAGGAAGAAATACAGAGTGACTCTGCACTGCTGCCACCACCTGAGCACACCACTGCCAGCGCCGCCGAGGGTGGAGGCTGGCAAGCAATCGCCTCAGGCGCCACCAGCAAGAACGAGACTGGACGCGCCACCTGCCCCAAAGTGTCCCCGAAGCCCAGCATATCCAAGGTGATCCTGAGAGCCGCAGCAGACAAGGGCCCGCGCCACCTGGTGTCCCTAGCAGCCCTGAAGAGCGCTGTGGCCACCGTGGGCTACGACGTGAGCCGTAACGCCTGGCGCTTCAAGCGTGCGCTTAAGAAGCTGGTGGACCAAGGCATGCTCCAGCAGGTGACTGGCAGGGGGGCCCTGGGCTCCTTCCGCCTAGGCAAGAAGCAGGCCTCCAAGCCCAAGCTCAAGGCCAAGAGTCCAAGCCAGTCACAGCGGAGACGTGCACAGCGCAGGGGTGGGCAGTGTCGGCCTGGGCAGCACCGATCACTATAGGGCTCTAGACAGGGCCACAAGCGGCTTCTCAAGGGGCCTTGCAGAGTGGCCAAGGAGCGCCGCAAGTAACAAGGCGGCCAGGTTGGCTGGCAGGGGGTCCAGGCCCGCCACAGGCTCAGTGCTGCGGGAATAAAAGGAGCCTGACTTCCTGCACACTCGCCTCCTGGGATCTTTAGGGGTTTGGGAAGTGGGAGAGGAAGAGGGCTGGGGGAGAAGAGGGGGATTAAGGCCCTAGGGAGGGGGCGCCTGGGGCAAAATGAGAGGGAGATGGATTTGGGAAGGGAGGGGCAGAATGGACAGCATCCATGGCCCTCAGCTGGTCCAACCACATCTAATTTTTTTTGGTACTGGGGATCAAACTTAGGACCTTGTACTTGCAAGGCAGGCAGGGGAACCACTGAGCTAAATCCCCTGCCCCTTTTTTTTTTTTTTTTGAGACAAGGTCTTGCTATGTAGTTCAGGCTGGCCTTGAACTCTCAGAGAATCTCCTGCTTCAGCCTCCCAAGTGCTGGGACTACAGGCAGGCGCCACCATACCTGGCTTGACCACACTGTTGCATGTGGAGAATCCGAGGCCAGAAAGGGGGGTGGAGCCCAATCTAGGACCTGGGGGTCTGGCTCAGAGTGATGTGTGCGTGTGTGTGTGTGTACACGCCCTATCCCCAGGGAGGTCCCTCCTCCTGTGCCACAGTAGGCCCTTCTATGACCATCAGATGAGGTCAGGATAGAGGCCTAGCAAACAGCCAGCTCAGGGTCAGAGCTCTGAGGTCAGATGGCCCCCGTTACCCAAGTCATGTTTGTCCCTGCTGCTGCCAAGGTGGGAGGAACCAGGCTACCAGTCTGGGGGGCTCCCATTGCAGTGTTTACTCACTCAGAGGTGGCCAGATCTCTCTTCAGCCTGAGGGAAAGTGAAGGAGAAGGTTAGTTCCACTCTGGGCTTTGTCTCAAGGCGTCCCCAGGGCTCTGGTGTGTGGCACTTGGTGAGCTCTTATCACAACCTCCTCCCGGTGCCATCTGGGCAGGACCCGAGGCTCCAGTTGCCTAGACAGAACTCTGCTCTCCTCTGGCTGTGATCCCCATGCCCCACCACACAGCCCAGTGCCATGGGGGTCCTGTGATGGGAGCCCCAGCTGATGCTCGTCCCCACTCACCGTCCCCACTCACCGTCCCTCTCGCCGACAGCACATGACATAGGCCAGCAGCAGGGTAAGCAGCAGAGCCACCAGCAGAGGCACCAGGAGGGTGACCAGGGCGTCTTCGAGGAAGTCTCGGGCTGTGGCCTCGGTCGGAGGGCAGAAGAATGGATCATACTCCAGGATGCCATCCCCAATGGTAGGCACCTCGTCTGCAGGTGCCGGCACTGACTTATCCACCTGCACAGAGCCCAGGGCTGACCCAGGAACAGCTGGCCAGACACAGAGCCCAGGGACAGGGAAGAGGGTGGGGGCCAGCCCACTTTGAGGTACATCCCTGTGTGCAGAGAGGGTTTCCTGCCCCTGCGCCCCAGCTCCTGTGACTCAACAGGACAAGCACTGTGGGGAGGAGCCAATTCTAGCAGAGCTCAGACTGCACAATAGTTAGCGCTGGCTCTCACATCCTGCTGCCTGGGTTTGACTCCTGGTTCAGCCGGGTGCTTCCCTGGGATGGTTTGCCTCTGCGTGCCTCAGTTTCCTCAGCTGTAAAGTTAGTGATCCTTGTGTACCTGCCTCCTGGAGTGATATGATGTGGTGTATAACTCAGAAACTGACTGCTCCTCACTGAAGGTGGGTTTGCTAGACGACGCCTCAGTGGGAAGCAGACAGATATCACACAGCAGCTCAGGGTGGGGAAAGGGTTTGGGGTCTGCCCTATTTTAGCAGTGGGCTGGGCAAGTCTGGGGCACTAGCATCTGGAAACCCCTTGCCTGGGTTGTAGACTCTGCCGCCCCCTTGTGCGAGAAGGTAGAACTTCAGTGCGCGTGTGTGTGTGTGTGTGTGTGTGTGTGTGTGTGTGTGTGTCCAAAACTGAGACCACAGACTAAGGCTGGGGTGAGACTGACACCATCAGGAAGAAACCGGACTGGAGAAAGCACCGGCTGGAATGGGAAGGCAGGGAGAGGGAGGGAGGGGACTTGGGGATGCCTCCCCACCCAGCTCTGGGTTCAGCATCCCTCCTCACCAGGGACACGTTGCACCAGTCAACGCGGAAGTGGGGTGCCAAGGTGTCGTAGCAGGACAGGAGCGGGGGCTGGCCCTGGGCACAGCGGGCGTGGCTGTCAGGGGACGCCACCATCTTCAGGCAGGTGGAAAAGGGCGTGGCAGAGCCCACTTTGATGTATACCCTGGTGGGTGCAGACGGAAGGGAGGCCAAGTCAGCAGGGGCTGGGGACTGGGAACCTTATCCGCCGGGAAGTGCAGAACTCGGGTCGCTAGGGTTTAGGCTCAAGAAGAAGACGATGGTGTGGCTGGAGGGAGTGGACAGTGGTGTGAAGCTGGGAGGAAGAGACAGGCAGAGCAGGTGTGCAGTGGTAAAGCCCCACCTGGAAATTGGGGAGACCTCTGCTTTACGCCCACCCACCCCCCAAAACAAAAAGCGAGCTGCCTTCTCCGTCTCCCAGGCTGCACACCTACCCTTCCTTGCGGCCCTCGATGGGAAGAGGGACACGGCCACCACAGTCCAAGGCGGAAGTGACGTTGAGCACCTGAAGCTCCCCGGGCTCCCAGAGGCCCCCCAGGCCCGTGAGGAAGCGGCTAGTGGGCGTGGAGGGCAGCACCTCCTCCACGTCGTGGCTTCGCACCAGGAACTCGGCTTGGTACGGCAGCCGGGGGCCTGGGAAGCCAGGGAAGGTCAGGCTGCTCGCAGCCCCCAGCTCTGTACCTCCCAATCCCCTCCCCGGCACATCATGGGTCCCAAATGCCCTTCCCAGCACCCAGGTCCGAAGTCTGTCCTCAGAGCGGCCCCAGACTAGGACCCCAGTCCAGCGCCTGACCCCCAAAGCTATCAATTTCTATCTTTCCTTCTTTTTTTGGTGTTTTTGAGGTATTTTTGCAGTTCGAGTTGACCTTGAACTCACTATGCAGCCCAGCAAACTGGCTGCAATCCTCTTGCCTCAGCCTCCAGAGTGCTGCCTGGCATTACAGACATGCGCCAACAGGCCCAGCTACCAATTTCGCATCCTCCCTGACTCCCCAGTTTCTAGGGTGCCCTGCTCCCCACTATTCTTTTTTTTGGTACTGGGGATCGAACTTGGGTCCTTGTGCTTGCGAGGCAGGCGGGGCACCACTGAGCTACATCCCCAGCACCCCTGTTATTCTTCAAGCCTCCCCCCCAGACCCCCCAGCCTGGCTTTGGTGGGGAGAGGTGGGGCGGAGCTGGAGTACCTTCAGGGTCCCCAATCAACAGCACCAGCCTCTTCTGAGTGGTGGCGAAGGTGTCCCGATTGTAGGCTGTGACCTGGGGGGAAGGAGGGACAGCTCAGTGGGTGGGGGGCGACTGGTACCCCACCAAGTAGGGACATGCAAATGTATGCAAATGATATGCAAATGGTATGCAAATTGTACACAAGCGGGTGGGAAGGGACAGTGACCCATCCCTGGGAGGTTCTGAGGGTCCCTCTGGCACCTCGATGACCTGGCGCCCGCGATCTTCCGAGGTGGCCGTGCCATAGAGGAAGCCAGGCTGGGTGGGGCTGCGCTGGGTGTATCGGAGCCACCGGGGCAGGTCCGGGTGTCCCTGGAGGTGGGCGTGGTAGGTGATGCGTGTAGAGGGCTGGACAGCTGAGGGAAGAGACGGGATTGGAGGCCCGACAGACAGGAGCAGCCTGGAAGGACACCCCGCCCACCCCGTGCCCACCAGGCCCCTCTCACCAGTGTCCTCGGGGAGCCGCAAGAAGGTCGCGTGGTCCAAGGTGTGCACAAAGACACGGCCCACAAGTGGGTGGAGGGGGTTCTGCTGGGCCTGGGTGCCCCCCAGCCCTACCGAGAGACCTGTGGGAGCCCACAAGTCCCACACACAGAGGCAGCCTCAGCCCGGGCAGGGGGTGAACTCTTCCCCACCAGGTCCCCCAGCTCCTACAGATGACAGCTAAGGGCCCCTTCGCAGGCTCCAGGAAAGGAGGGGTGGGGGTAGGCCCTGATGTGCTTTTCGGGGGGGTTGGAACCAGGGTCTCACTATGTAGTTCAGGCTGTCCTTCAACTCACTATGTAGCCCAGGCTGGCTTTGAACTCTCAGAGATCTTTCTGCCTCAGCCTCCTGAGTGCTGGGATGACAGGTGTGTGCTACCACACCCAGCTGTGGGCTACCATTTAAATAGGTGATGAGGCCCAGACTTTCCTTTGGTTTGGATTTGTGGGAGGGCCCCCTCCAGATGGAAAGAAGCTGGTGTTGGCTGGTAGGGGTGTGTGGGACCGTCCGGGGTGTGTGTGTGTGCGCGCGCGCGCATGTGCAAACTTGGGAAAGAGCCCCACACTAAATGTCTGGGAGGCTAGAGGGGTGGGGAGGGGTAGAGCACTCCCACGAAGGGTGGCCCCTGTGGGACCTGAATCTGACCCTCCTCTCCTGCTATTGGCAGAGGAGCAGGCCCAAGGAGCCTGGCCAAGGGGACCTGCCCCAGACACCCTCCCTCTCTCCTGGGCCAAATTTAGCCTGGGCCTGACCAAAGCAGCAATCAGCCGACCCATTAAAGGGCCCTCGACCCTCTGTGCCCTCGCTGTGGGGCCCAGCCCAGGCCTAGGCCACCCCCAGCCTCGGGGCTCGCAGCCCGAGCTCATCCTGTCTGGGCACTCAAGGCCCATGACCCCGCAGGCCCCCCCACCCCCAGGCCTCCCCCTGATGATCCCTGTCCTCCAGCTCCTCGCTCCTGAATCCTGGCCCTGGTGCTGGCCTCTCCCCCCACCCCAGGAAAGCCCCAACTTGCCCACAAGGAGAGGAATCCAGAGGATCACGGCTGCCATGGCTGCCCCGGCCTGGCCCAGCCCCTGTGAGTGACAGAGGCAGGGGCAGGAGAAGAGGAGGGAGGGAGGGAGGGAGAAGCAGCTGGGGCCCAGCCTCGCCCGGTGGAACCTCCCCTCCCTGACCATTCCTTCCAGGGTGCTCTGCGTCCTCACATACACACAGCCGTCTCTCCCCATGGACCCAGCATGTGTCTACCTGACTACCCAGGTCCTCCCGTAAAACCTGAGTGGGACGGGGTGGAGTGGCACATGCCTGTCATCCCAGCACTGTGGAGGCTGAGGCAGGAGGATCGATGCAAGTCTGAGGCCAGCCTGGGCTACCTAGTGAATTCGAGGCCAGCCTGGAATACATAGCAAGACTGTCTCAAAAAACCAAACAACGACGAAACAAACCCTGGTGGCTTTATTGTCCTTGAGCTCCCTGCCCATCCTTAGTTGATAGCTTTCAGGCCCCTCTTGTCCTGGGCCATCCTGTCTAGGACCTTCTCATAAGGTCATCAACACCACGCTTGCATGCACACACACACACACACACACTCCAGCCCTGAGGGTGGTAAAGGTGACAGGGGTCCTTGGAGACCAGAACCCCATTACCTTCCTATGACTGGCACAGGGCCCAGCAAAGTGCAGGTATAGGGGCCTGGGTGACTGCTGCCTTCTCAACAAGTAGGGTGTGTGCTGTCCTGGCCTCAGCCTGGCCAAGCACCCTCAGGGCCTAAGTCTAGGAAGAGACGGCCGGGGAGCGGAACAGAGGGCCCTGAGGCCCAAGCATGTGGCACCTGGGCACGAGTTCCTCCTTGCCATTCCCTGGCCAAGTGACTTGAAACAGTCACTTGCCCTCTCTCGGCCTTGATTTCCACAATTCTGTGCTCCGTGAATAGCTCCCGCCTCTCAGCGTCATTGTGCAGCATCACAATTCTGGGGATCGCAGCACCTGCAGGTACCGAACACAAAGAAGTAGAGATGCCCACACTGCCCACGTGCGGCCTGCACACTCGGGTGAGGACGGCTGGCTGTCCACCCCGGTGCCCAAGGGCTCTCATGGAGTAGGAGTATCCACCCTTATTCCATACCCACAGTGGCTGCATGAGCAGACTCCACTCCTGTCCCCATTGTATAGATGGTAACACTGAGGCATGGGGCACTGAGGCCCAGAAGCCAGGCTGCTGATGAGGTGAATGCCCGTAAAGCGCATAGCTCAGTGCCTGACTCCACCCGTGACAGCGACAGTGGCCACCACCTCCCCTGTCTCCCTGCATCAGACACAAGACCTGGGTCTGCGTGTGAAGGGTGGGGCGCCCCTGACCGCCGGGCCTCCTGCTCAGGACAGGCAGAAGGTGCCCTCCCCAGCTGCCACAGCCCCCAGCATCCCAGTCCTTGGGGCATCAAGATGAAGGTGCCCCCTTCTCCCCTCAGCCAAACATCGGGGCAAGGACATCTGGGACCTGCCGGTCAGGCCTGAGAATCCAAGGGTGTGGCCCTGCAGCTCGGGTGGCTGGCTGGGAAGTGGCTTTGTCCTTGTCCCTTCCTTTCTGTCCACCTGACCACCCCACTTGTCCCCAGAGAGCCACTCAATGCTGGAATCAGCATCCACTCTGGCTCCCAGGCAGGGGTTTGTCCCCAAATCACCTTGCATCTCTCTGCCTTCTCGGAGATGGAGGGAGAGAGGAAGAGAGACTTAGGGCAGAGCGAGTCGGACAGAGGACATGGACGGCGGAGCAGAGCCCACAGCTGCCCGGCCCAGCCCTGCACCCCGCATGTGACTCCGTGCCACCCCCTGCCGCCTCCCTGCTATTTCTGGAGCCACCTACTCATATCCTCAGCTGTCGCAGGGAGTAGTGCCTGCGCCCTGGAGTCACCAGGTCCATGGAGGCCAGCCATCCTTAGAAGAGCTTCAGTCACTTCCCCTCTGATCCTGCCCCAAAGACCCAGGGACTGTCCCCTGGGCCAGCTGGAACCTGAGTCCCAGATGACCACAGCTGACCAGATGGGAACCTGCTGCTGAACACACAGCCTCTTCTGTCTGTGGGGGCCTAGGGTTAGAAGGGGGGCTCCTGGGGTCCTTCAACTTATTATTTTAGAAAAATTTTTAAAGGACACAGAATAGCTGGGCATAGTGGTGCATGCCTGTAATCCCAGCATTTAGGAGGCTGGAGCAGGAGGATTGCCTGAGTTTGAGGCCAGCCTGAACTGCATAGCAAGATCCTGTCTCAGACAAACAAAAACAAAACTTACACAGAATAATACAATGAGCTCCTATGTATTGATTACCCAGCTTCAACAATTACCAACTCATGGCCAATCTGGAGTCGTTCATACCCCTCCCGATTTCCCTCTCCCACTTAACTTCACCTGTCAGGATGTCGGGGTATATCTTTAAGAGCTGAAGACAGTAAAAACCCAATAAAATAAAAGCTAATGACTTTAACCTCATCACAAAACATTCAATTATTAACATGCTCAGTAATTCCTTATTACAAACTTCTAGTGTTCAAATTCTTAATTTCTTACCACTTTCCTGGGGGAGGGTGTTTGTTTTTCTCGTGTTTATGTGTTTGGTACTACTGGGGATTGAACACAGGGCCTCGGGTATGCTAGGTGGATGCTCTGCCACTGAGCTACATCTCAAGTCCTTGTTGGTTTGCTTGGTTGGTTTTTTGAGACAGTCTCACTATACAGTCTAGGCTGGCCTTGAACTTGTTATGTAACCCAAGTTGGCCTCAGACTCATGATGTTCTTGCCTCTCAAGTGCTGCACCACACTCAGCTGATAAATATAGGAGATCAGGTCTCACTGGTGGCCTTGAAATCCTGGGTTCAAGTAATCCTCCGGCCTCAGCCTCCTGAATAGCTGGGAATACTGGTATTAGCCTCAGTACTCAGCTAATTTCATTTTTTTGGGCCGGGGATTCAGCTCAGTGGTTCCGCTGCCTGCCTCACAAGCGCAAGGACCCAGGTTCGATCCCCAGTACCAAAAAAAAAAAAAAAAATTCCTAATTTCATTTTTTAAAAACAAGTATTGGTGGGGCCGGGGATTTAGTTCAGTGGTTTCGCCACCTGCTGCGCAAGCGCAAGGACCCAAGTTCAATCCCTGGTACCAAAAAAAAAAAAAAGATGAACATATGTTGATGATGGTGGTGACTGTAGTACTGTGGATCCCAGATCTTTTTAATTTTTGAATCAAGGTCTTGCTAAGTTGCTCAGGCTGGGCTGGCATTTGTGCTTCTGCCTCAGCCTCCCAGAGTACTGAGATCAGAGGAATGTGTCCCCATGCCTGGATAAGATGGACATATTACAGTGATGGATCCCCACATCTCTGGGTTCCTCAGTCATCTTTTTCTCTTCCCACCTTCCTTCCCTCTTTCCCTTCCTTTCTCTGGCTCTCTCTCTTTCCTTGTTGAGCCTGGGCTATTGTCCTGCAGTTGTCCACAGCCTGGATTTTGCTGACTGGGTCTCTCCGGTTTTCTCTAACACGTTCTCCTGCCCCCTGCACTTTCTGCAAATGTACACGGTGAAGTCCTGAAGGTCATAGTTGGATCTGAAGCCCTGATCAGATTTGGGTCGGGTTGTCTCCAGCGAGACCCCTGCATGTTGGCGGTGTTCTTCGTCTGGAGGCACATCGTGTGCCATCAGCTTTTTTAGCTGTTGTGTTGCTGTTCTGCAAGCTGGTGACATTCAAATTCAATCACTTGGAACACTTCATGATTTGGCTACGGAGTGGCACAGTTCACAACAGAAAGCCAGAGTAAAGGCTTGATCCTTTTCCTATATTTACCAGCTACAAAATACTGGTTGATTTCCCAGCGTCCTCCAAACTGACCAATTAGCTCCCCAACACACACACACTAGTAGGCTAACTATGAATTTGTGGTTTGAACACATGGATCGCTTCATTCCATTGCCGACAGCTAGCATCCGCCAGCCTTCACGAGGTCCCATCCTTAGCTCTCAGTTTAGTGCTCCCCTCTCGGACAGCAGTGGAGAGAACTGGGGGTCAGGTCTCTGTGTCTCTGCCTGTCTCAGCCTTCCAGGTGCAGGCTCGCCCTTCGCCTGGCTCACGCCTGTGACCCCAGCCCTGCCCTCAGCCCAGCTGGCTCTCTGTCCTCTCTTCTCTGTCATCTGCATCGATCTCCCCAGCTTTCTGCCCTTTCTCTGCCCATCCCAGGGACGGTTTGCTGAATGAATGAATGAATGACCTCCCAGCTCTGCCTCATCCACTCCTCTCTCTGTGAACCTGTCTCCCTAAGTCTCTTGACCTCTCAGGGCCATATTTTCTTTATCTGGATCTAAAACGGAGGGTTACGCGTAGTCGTCCGGGACAAAGAAAAACCTTCCCCGTCCTTGTCATCTGATTCTCGCGTCTGTTTCCCAGACTCCACCCACATCTTTCTCCCGGATCTTCTTCGCCGCCCCCTGCGCAACAACAAAGGGTGCGACTCGGTTAGTCCGCCACGAGGGGGCGCGCTGGCTGGTTCCAGCTCGGCCCTGCGCCTGCGCAATGTTGGGGCGGAGCCGGCCACCTGGAAGGAACCCGGAACCAGTAGCTGCAAACCCAGAGAGGGGAGCGGAGCTGGGACTCCCGGGCTGGGGGGTTCGTGATGCGGTGCACACGGAAGAGGACCTGAGGCCTCAAGCCCCCAGTGTCCTCTTCCCTAGGGGAGGGGATCCGCAGGGAGACAGGGATTGGACCTAATGAGCTCGTCCCCTCCCTCGCCCACCATCCGCTGTGTCAGTCCTCCGACTTCCAAGGACATCGCCGTGTTCCCTCACCCCGCAGACATTTTGGGGCGCCAGCCTAAAGAGCTAAGTCTACCCAGAATCTTCCTCTCCTTTTTATCAGCGGACTTCTAGCCTTCAAGGGGTTTCTTGAACCTGTGGCTCAGAGCCATACAACCCGAGCTGGAGGATGCCGGAGATGCTTCCTGGCCTGACTTTGTAGCTTAGGGGAGAAGCAGAGCCCGGGAGGGACTGTCCTGGGTGGCAGAGCCATTTCCACTGGGACCCTCCCTCCCCACAGTGGGGGTAAAAGGGA